TCTTATTGAGGGTTTTCTTGTTTTGCGCTGTCCCTCCACCCTCCCAAGCATGGCATCACTCTCCAAGGACTGCTCCCTCCTTGCAGCATGTCCAAACTATGTCAGATGAAACGTCAGAATTATTCAAAATTTTCTTCCTTCCCAGGACGAACCTGTTTGTTCTCTTAGATGTCCATGGTATATTCAGTATTCATCGCCAGCACCACAGCTCAAAGGTGTCAATTCTCCTCCTTCATCCTTAGTGATTGTCCTGCTTTCTGATGCATAGCAAGTAATTGCAAAGACCATGGCCTGAATCATGTGCTCCTTTGTCTCCAGACTGCCATTGTTGCTCTTCACTACTTTGGAGAGGTCTCTATCAAGCACACTTTTTCAATTGTTCATATTATTTTTGGCATTGTAGGAGAAGCTATTCCTTGGAAAGGGTATCATGCTTTGAATAGTGGAGGGTCAACAGAAGAAAAGAAGACCCCTGTAAAGATGGATTGACATGGTAACTGTAGCAATGGACTCAAGTGTATCAGAGATGGTCAGAATGGCACAGCTAGGACAGGATTCAGGTCTGTTAGTCATAGGGTCTCTATGAGTCATACTTGCTGGCATCTCACAATACGTTAGTCTATCTAGGAACTGGCAATTTTTTTTCCTGGAAAGAGCCAGATAGTAAATATCTTAGGCTTTGAGGGTTATCTCTGTTGCAGCTACTCAATTCTGCTATTGTAGTATGATAGCAGGCATAGATAAAATGAAAAACTTTTACTATGTTCCTATAAAAGCTTATTTATGGACAGTGAAATTGAAATTTCATGTTAATTTTCACATATTACAAAATATTTTAACTTTTCCCTAGTAATTTTTCTGTTTGAAGTTGTCAAGGTTTAATTTTTACTTGGATTTACAATCAATATCCATAAAAACAGAAACCAAGAAATCCATCAATTTACTGGCATGTACTCTGCATTTTTTATTATTATTGATTTTAATGAAAGTTTATAGAAACTTTGGATTTCCATTCATTCATTGTTGCACTTTTCTCCTTGCCCACCCCACTCCCCAGTTCGCTCTTCTCTTTGAAAAGTAAAAGAAAAATTATTTCATTGTTATACAGTCCCTCTCCCTAAGTACACACCACTATGCAGCCGTCGTTCTGGGCTCCTGTCATGACAATAATACCTAATCATATATCCATTTTAAATAGTTCTCTCCCGAGGCTGTTTCAGTGCAGTATACATAATTTATCTCATCTTTCTCAGTCTCCCCTCAACCCCAGTGTCACTCCCATTTTACAACAGTAGCATTATGTAGTATCTGTCCTTTTGTGATTGAGATACTTCACTCAGCATAATGTCCTCCAGGGTCACCCATTTTGAATAATATTTTATAAGTTCCTTGTTTTCAATGTAGTATAGTATTCCATTTTGTGAATATACCACAGCTTCTCAATCCATTTGTTTGTTGATGGCTTCCCCAGTAATTTTAAATACAAAAACCATTCTGAACTTGTGACAGAATTGCACAAAAATCAAGCGAAATTTGTCCTATAGATTATTGTTTACTTTTTCCAAACAGGAATCTGATCATAATTCAATACATTTTTTGTTTAATGAATTAAGGCTGATTAAGTTCTGTGCATTTTTTATAGTAGGGAATGTTGTTGATTGCCTTTGAGTCGAGCATGACTCATAGTGAGCCTGTGAACAAAAGGCCTGAAGCCCCTCTACAACTGTTGACATTTATCAAAGTTAATGGAGTTTCTGGAGGCATGTTATTTAGGAAGTGGATGCCACTCCTGGTTCCAAACCTGTCATGGTATGTTATTGTTGTTATGTGCCATTGAGTCACCTGCGATATATAGCAACTCTGAGTACAGCAGCTCTGAACCGAACCCTATCCTGCCCCAGTCTCACTAATCCTGACACATCAGCCCCCATCATCCCCGTCACTGTATCAATCCATCTCATCTGGGGTCTCCCTCTCCTGCACTGTCCGTCCACCCTTGTGAGCATGATGTCCTCCTCCAAGAACCAATCTCTCCTGGCCACATGCCCAAAGAGAGTGAAGCGGAGCTTCAAAATCCTACTCTCCAAGGAGAGACTAGTTTTCACCCTCTCCAAGACAGACCTATTTGTTTTCTTGACAGTCCATGGTATGTTCAAGACTCTTCTCTAGCACCACAACTCTAAGGCATCTGTTGTTCTTCTATCATCCTTAGTCATTGTCCAACTCTCTAAAACATAACAAGTAATTGAGAAGACCATGGCCTGGATTAGGCACACCTTTGTATCTAGACTGACATTGTTGCTCTTCACTCTGGAGAGGTCCATGGCAGCAGATTTTCCCAATGCATTTCGTCTTTTGATTTCCTTACTGCTGATGTTAAAGAGTGTTGATTATGGATATGAGCAAGCTGTAATTGCTAACAACCTCAGTCTCTTCTCCATCTAATATGGTGCTGCCAATTGGCCCAGTGGTAAGAATCTTTGTCTTCTTGATGGTGAGCTTCAATCCATATTGAAGACTACAGGCCTTGACCTTTTGCAGCAAATGCTTCAGGTTGTCTTTAGTTTCAGCAAGCAAGGTTGTGTCATCTGCATATCATAGTTTGTTAATGAGTCTTCCTCAGATCTTGATGCCACACTCCTCCTCAGAAAGCCCTGTTTCCTGAATGATCTGTTCTGCATACAGATTGAAAAGGTATGGGGACAGGATGCAGCCTTGGTCCAACTATAGGTTTCATATAAGCACGATCAAGTGTTCTGAGATTCCCATTTTCATCAAGGTTATCCACAATTTATTGTGATCCACACAGTCAAATGCCTTTGCATAGTCAATGAAACACAGATACACATTCTTCTGGTACTCTCTACTTTCTGCCAAGATCCATCTGACGTTTGCAGTAATGTCCCTAATGCCAAGACTTCTTCTAAACCTAGCCTGTATTTTCTGGTAGTTCTCTGTCAATGTACTGTACAAGACTTTTCTGGATAATCTTTAGGTGGATTTTGCTCATGTGTGAAATTAGTGATATTTTTTAATAATTTCCACACTCTATAGTGAAGGTAAATTTTCACTTTTTGAGTCTTGAGAACAAGAATTCATACTTTTATTTAGATTTGTGTTTCTCTTTAGAAATTAAATCTTCATTTACTAAAAATGAGTCTGACATTTTGTGTTCAATCTGGCAGCATATCCACTAAAATCAGAACAATATAGAGAAGATTATGTACCTGGCCCTTGTGCAAGGATGACATACAGATTTTTTTTTTCTTGCCTCCTAAAGAGGCCCATATGGCATTTTGAAATATTATCAAATGCTCACAAGATTTATTTAAGCATTTGTAAAGATAGATTATTATTTCTGTTGCCCAAGAGTAAAGCTAAATTTCAACACTTCTAGAATGCCTTGAATTCCCCCATTTATTTGTGTTAATTCATGAAATTTTAAAAACACTTATAGATATTAAAGCATACTTTTTTTTTTTTTATTTTTGTGTGAGTGTACCGTCAAATCAGATCTGACTGGTACAAGAGGAGATTGTCCCTCCTTTTCCCGGCAGAGCATCTGGTGGATTCGAACCATGCGCCTCTGGGATTGTAGTTGCAGCTCCTTGTCAATAGGCCACCAAAGCTCCCCTAAAGCATACTTTTATATTGTTGAGAGTTCTAATTATGATATTGCTCCAGTTCTAACCTGACAGATTGAACTGTGACTATCTGTGATATGTACCAAAGGAAATTAACAGGTGTAATATAGATTCATTTTTTTAAGAAGGGACGGGAGTTTTACAGTAGTCCTATTAAGTCATTTCTAGGGAGCTTCAGGTATATCTGAGAATTGAGCCATGTGAAGAGGGTCGGAGAGGAGCATCTAGCTAGAGAGAGAGCGTGTATAATGACCCTGAGTCCCAGTAGATTTTGGTATTTCTCAAGAATGCAAAGAAGTTTTAGTGTAAATAATTTGAGGGGACAGCACTCAAATAATCCCCATATAATTGATTTTATAAACAGAGATAATATATAGAGATGTTGGCTTACCATATTGTTGTTGTGTACTGTTGAGTCAGAACCACCCCATAGCTGACCCTCCAGCAAGTACTCAGAGGCAGTTAATTACGTGGGAGATTGCCCATCTTTCTCCTGCAAAGCAGCTTGTTGATTTGAACTGTGTTCCTTCAGGATTGCAGCGCAGCTTCTTACCACTAGGCCATCAAAACTCCCTAGACTTACCTTAAAAGTAGGTAATCTGCCAAGTAATAACTTATAAATATGAAGATCAAAATTGGCTATGTGAAAAATGTTTTCTTGACTTCCAGTTTGTTATACATTCCCAGAAACTAATCATTCATCTGAATTGTGGTGCATTATCTGTGTTAATTGATAGGCAATTGAAGTTAAGTAATTGCTCTGTGAGCATAAAACACCATACATGTTGAAGCAGTAATGAACCAAGATGACAGTTCCTACATGAGTAATTTAAGTTTGCCTGTAGTACAAAGCTGTGGCACACCAACTATGACCTTAAGAGACATTAAGCAAAAGAATGACGGTGAAAATTCTGAGTCACTGTGAGGGGAAAGAAGACAGAAAAATAAGAGACTGAATGGGGCAGGGAGGAAGAAAGAGACTAGAGTAAAGAGGATAAGTCAAGGTTAGTGAGAATTCAGGGAGAAAGAGAAGGGAAGGATTTAAAACATTTAAGACAAGCATATTCTAGGCCATAAATTTTTACAAGGTATATAGTCTTTTAGTTTTAGGAATAAATATTAATATATAATTCCTATTGCCTAATTATGTCATAAGTCAAATCTTTGTATCTTTGATTATCTCTATTTTAATATCTTTGCTTTATAGTATTTTGCTCTGAAAAGTCAAATTGAGAAATTAATAATTTAGCACAGATATTCTTTAAAATAATATTTACAGTGATTTTTAAAAATAAAATGTATATACCTTGTAGTATGTTGTATTTATTTACTCATAATGTTCTTTTAAGTGTTTCAGGCTGCATGTACCAAGTAGTTCAGACGATTGGCTCGGATGGAAAAAATCTTCTACAGTTACATCCAATTCCTAAATCTTCTGGAAGTCTTATGCCACTAGTTCAATCTCCAGTCATATCTGATGCTTTGAAAGGGAATACAGGAAGTCCAGTTCATGTTACTTTTCAGACTCAGATTTCCAGCTCTTCCACAAGTGCATCAGTTCAATTGCCTGTTTTTCAGCCAGCGAGTTCTACAAACTATTTTCTTACAAGAACAGTTGATACATCAGAAAAAGTTAGAGTTACTTCTGTGGGAACTGAAAATTTTACCTCATCAGTGTCTAAACTTCAGAATCATAATGTCAAAATTGATAGACTCGGAATGCAAACATTTGTTGTTCCTCCCTCTAAACCACAAAATGATTCATCTTACATTTTAGTAAATACTCAGAGTCTTCCAATGACTGTGAAGCCTCCAGTTTTGCCTTCTGGGCATCATTTACAGATTCCAGCCCATGCTGAAGTGAAATCTGTACCTGCGACATCATTGCCTACTTCAGTTCAGCAGAAGATCCTTGCAGCTACAGCCACAAGGACCTCAGGAACAGTTGAGGCCTCCCAAATACCAACTGTTATATATGTATCGCCTGTAAAAACAGTGAAAAACACAGTTACCACGAACTTTCAAAACATTTATCCAAAACCTATTACAGAAATAACAAATCCAGTGATACTAAATACCTCAAAAATTCCAATGAACAGTGCTACAGAGACACAAGTAGTAACTGGTCAGCATTCTCAGATTGCTCCAGTGAAATGGATTTTACAAGAAACTCACCAGCCTTGTAGTCCATCGCTTGTTCCTGTTAAGTCTTCAAATAATGTGGCTTCAAAGATTTTAAAAACATTTGTAGATAAGAAACATTTGGGAAAGAACCCTGTAAATCTGCCAACATTGAGTACCTACAGTCCTAGTGGGACACAATCCAAAAGTATACCCATAAAAGATAATGCTTTGGTTATGTTTAATGGGAAAGTCTATTTTTTGGCTAAAAAAGGGTCAGATGTTCTCTCATCACAGATTGACCAACAGAATTCACTTTCTCCTGATAATCCACCAAGACAAGACATACCACAGATAGTGAGTTCAAGTGCAGTTACAGACATATCCAGAGAGGTTGTAAATATTGTCTTGGCAAAAAGCAAGTCTTCCCAGATGGAGAAAAAATCACCTTCAAGTATCCAGGTTGCAGAGAAGAATAAAAAGTTGGAACAACCATCTCTTTGTATCCTAAGCGCACATAATATCAACAAATCTATTAACTGCCTAAAACCAAGTAAGACCTTATTCTTAAAGCCAATGTTTCCAGGTGGATTTAGTACAGTACAGAATAACCCCAGAAAAGGAAATATCATCCAGAGCATAGAGAAAATAACTTCCTCTATTGATGCAACAGCTGTTACTTCACAACAGGGTGTTATCAGAGACCAAGAACCAAAGGTAATTTTGCCATGTCAGGGTATTATTTTTTGTATATCTATATAGAAAAATTTTCTATCTTAATTATAAAAAGTTATCATCTGAGATACTTCTTCTCCCCACCCCATCCCATCTTACACATACCATATACACAAGAGTGCTTAATTGAATAAAAGTTTGTATCTGCAGTCTGTTTGAGGAAGTTTATAATTAGGAGAGTCCAATCACTGTCTTTCTCTTGAATCATTTGTAATATATCTTTTAAAACAAAAAAGCAAAACAGTCAAGTTTATAAAATGAGGAAGGACAATATGTACTTAAAAGTAAAGTAAACTTGTGTGTATGTGTGTGTGAGTGTGTATATATGTATGTCTACATACATTAGAAAGAGAGAGTTGCTACTGAGTCGAGTCTAGATTCTAACTTATGGCCCATATGTGTCACAGTAGAACTGTGCTTTATAGGGTTTTCAATGACTGATATATCCCCCCTCCCTGGAAGTAAGTTGCTACCCTTTTTTCCCTAAGGTACTTCTGAGTGTACTCAAACCTCTAGCCTTGAACTTAGCAGTCTCGTATGTAACCCATTTATATACCCTCTAGAAACAATGCATATTTATACATGTGTATTCAATAGCCTAGCTTTAGTATATGAAGAGAATAATATCATGCACCCAGGAAAACTTGTTTTGTTGTGGGAGGAGGGTATATATTCAGTGCCTTTTTTTTTTTTCCTTAGAGTGAGATAGAGCTAGTCAAGTCAGTGCAATTTAATCATTTGAGGAAATAAAATTTTACCAGCATCTTAGACTTGGTCCTTTTAGTTAGACAAGATTCCTTTGTTTTTTACTCTTTTATCATCCAGCATATCCACATAATTATCTTTCTGTTCTACCTGAGATATACATGTGTGCTTACTGAGTATTTGTATCTACTTTTTCCTTGCTTGTCTAGCGGTCTGCTTTACAGTGTCTCTTTCAGTTAAAAAAAAAAAAAACCAAAATCATTCAACTCTAAATACAGGGGGGATAACTTTTTTTTTTTCTTTTATGGGGGATAACTTCTAATTGCTATGTACAAAATTGATTTAAGGAATGTGACTTTTTCAGAAGACTACAGTTTTGAAATACTGTCATATAGGTTACTTTTAACTATATTTGCATTTGGGTTGTCTTGGAATTGACTACAGTTAACTTATGGTATGAAAGATGAGAATATAGGGAAACATTTTATGTTTTCATTATTAAATTCAATTTTTGTAATGTTGAAATTAAGGCAAGGGTAATACAGCCCAGCCATGTAGAAGTTTTAAAGTTGATGCTTTATTTTAAGTTGCGTGGAGTAATTACTTAGTTACTGGCCTAATAAAAGGGTGTGGGTAATTTGCAGTTGTTTGTGTCTTCTTTCTTTCTTAAAAGGTCTTTCTTTCTTATTCCAGATCCAGAATGCAATGGCATCTACATTACAGAAAGACACTCAAGAAAGAAATGATAAGAAAGATACTCTTGAAAAGAGTAATAAGGCATCGTGTCTGAAGAATGATGCTGAATTTAAAAAGCTATTTGGCCTCACTAAAGATTTGAGAGTGTACCTTACTCGAATTCCTGACCATGTAAGCTCAGAAGAAGGTTTTAAAGCCATTAGTGGCTTAATGAAGAGTGATAGTTACAAAAAGACAGAATTTATGGCGAAGGAGGAAGAGAAAAAACAGGTAATAGATTTTAGACTACCCTTTGTGGGCACAACAGAGATGTACAGATGTTTTCATTGTATTGATTTTGGCTCCATTTTTAGCACTTTTTATTACCGTGAATGATATTCTAACGTAAACCCACTGTTGCGTTGATTTTGGATTGTGACTAACCTCCATGAGGTTTCTGAGGCTGTAAACTTTAATGAGAGCATACAGCCTCATCTGTCTGCTGTGGAGCAACTTAGTGAATTCACATTGCCAATACTTACTGTGTTATGCCTCCAGGGCTCCTTAGTAATGAAAATCATCCCAAATTTGCAAATACATTCATATTTATATAAAGTTTATAGACAGTATTAAGAAGAGCCACACATGTACCGGAGCTATGGTGGCTTAGTGGTAAGAAGTTGTGCTGTAATACTGAAGGCACATGGTTCAAATCTACCAACTGCTCTATGGAAGGAGGATGGTCAGTTTCCTCCTTTGCAGTTAACTGCCTCTGAAAACCCACTGGAGAGGATCAGCTATGGGTCACGACATTCAACCTCAACAGCACACAGCAATAACAACAGCATACCTCTACAGGTGAAAATAAATCCTCAAAGATGTTTTATGTGTTTTACTAATAAAATTAAAAGCAAAGGGCCACAGTTTTTTGCAAAGTCATCCTACATTAAAGACTCTAAAGAAAATTCAAGTGTAGGGAAAATATAATCATACAGACAGACGTTCATTGTCGTGTTAATTGTAATGTTGCCTACATGGTCAGTAATGGTGAAGCACCTGTATAAACTTGACCTTGTTCTACGTATGGCTATCATTATTGTTTAGTATCTTGAGCTTCAGAGTTGTATTTCTCAGACTGTATTGTGTTAGGTGTCAAAACTGCTTCTAATATTTGACTTTAGCAGGAAAATGTTAAGTCGTATATTCCAAGTAAATATTAGGAGAATATTGTTATTCATTTTGGTAAGCATTCTTCTGATTTAACTATACCAAATACATTTTTAGAATTTAATTGCTCAATATTTGTATTATCTGTGCTTTATTATTTTGGAGTGACAGTAACATTTTTTTTAAAATTCTGTTTATCATTACAACAGGGTTTTGATAAAAAAAGAAAAGTAACAACTCCCAAGAAAATGGATCATACAAAGAAAAGAAAAACTGAGAGTATTTGTAACGCATCTGAAAATGGGGAAACTAATGTCACAAATTCCCAACCACTTAGCAGTGTTTTATCAACTTCAGGGGTATCACAGCATAACAGTTTAACAAGCCACAGCAAGACCATAGAAGAAAAGAGAACTGAGGTAGAACACTCTATTCATGATAACCAGGAGGAAGGTACATTGAGTTCAAATGCAAATTTTGAAGAAAATCATTGCTTTAATAAAAATTCTTATACTGAAGATCTCCCCATGACACCACCAGAGTTAGAAGAAACCTTTCGAGATGAAAAAATACGAAGACTTAAGCAGTTACTGAGAGAGAAAGAAGCAGCTCTTGAAGAAATGCGTAAGAAGATGCACCAAAAATAATAAAATGGAGCTCAAGTTAAAAACTTTAATGAAGTACTTGTTTTTTTTTCCTTCCATACATTGTTGTACTGAGTTATAGGTACAGTATCTTTGAATAGGGTCTTTGTTTTTCATCAGTGAAAATAAAATTGTATTTAAGGGATAAAGAAAAGATTGTAACACACATGACTCCTGTGAATAATATACATGGGGTTATCTGGCCCTTTTTTTGGAAGGCAACTTTTTTTTATAATTTTCAGTTATTTTAACAAATTCTCCAAATTTGAATATTTTTCAAGGTTTTTTAATTGATGTTTGTATCTTTAATAGCTAATTTGCTTAGGTGTTACTCTACCAATAGATAATTATTGTGTATTACTGATTTTCTACAACCCAAGAGGGGGAATCAGTTCTATGCTGAGCTTTGCCAGTAGGCTTACTGTATATGTACTTAATCTCTGTAGCAGTAAAATGGAAATAGCATCTACTTACCGTATGTTGTAATTTTTTTCCACTTTTTAAAGTTTCATGAAAGAAAATGTATTGCAAGAACACTTTAAATACCCACACATTTAAGAATGAAGAACATGTTTTGTAACTTGCAACTTTATATAATCTAAAGTGGATTTTGTAATATGAACTAAATGATGTATTTTTTTCTTAAAATGATATTTTTATTCCTAGGCAAGCCTGTCTTTCTCTCTCACTAAATACATATATGCTTTACTTGGAGTAAAAGTAAACTAGATCTGGACAGTGGCCACATTTAGCACTTTTTAGATAATGTGTAGTTTCTCTTAAGATGTTTTTTTATCTGGTTAATATTTAATTTGGGAGTATCATAGAGTAACAAAGGAGAACTTTGTTGGCTTAGTGGTAAGAAGCTACACTACAATCCCCACCTGTTCCTCAGGAGGAGGATAGACAGTCTCCTCCCATGTTATTTATTGCTTCTGAAAACTCACTGAGGAGGCTCAGCTATGGGTCAGTTTCAACTCAACAACACAGACACATAACAACTGTCATAGAGGAACATATAAAAAGGAGAAAGTTGGATAAGATTTATGAAATAACCAATTTCCTAAAGTAAGAGATGGTTGTAAATGTCACAAAACTCTGTACATTAGCAACAAAATAGAAAACACCAAACCAGAAAATCCTGAAAGGAAATGAAACAAATGCATCTATCAACAAGATTCTCCTGCTTCCTGTTTGTTTTTATGGCAGCTTTATTGAAATGCATATCATAAAAATGGCTCTTATAAAGTATACAATTTAATGTTGTTATATCCATTAGCTGTCATTCCTCATTTTTCCATCTTTTTGGTGACCTGTAGGGCTTTATGCTTCTAAACAAAAGGCTGTCTCTGCTACTCCTTGGAAATAAAGGGGGCAGATTACAGTCTTAGAAACCCTATGGAGGGTCACTATGAATAGCAGTCAACTGGAAGACAGTGAATTTTGAGTTTTTGAGTGAGCCTTAAGTTGATTCTCACTCATCTTGACTCCATATATGTCGTAATAGAACTGTATTCTATGGAGTGTTAAGTCTGTGACCTTTGGAAATGAGATTACACCATCTTTGGAATTTTGTTTGCTTGTGTTTATATTGCCAGCCTTTCCCTAATTGTTATTGTTGGGTGCCATCGAGTATGATTGATAGCAGTCCTATGAACAAAGATCTGAACCCTGTCGTTTCTGTGCCATCCTCACAATTTCTGACACACTCAAGCCCATTGGTGCAGGCATTGTGTCAGGCTACTTGGTTGAGTCTTTCTTTCCTTTGCAGCCCCTCTAGCTTTCTAAGCATGTGGTCCCTCTCTAAGAAATAACCTCTCCTCGCAACAACATGCCCAAAGTATGTGAGACAAAGCTCTATCATTTCTTGTCTCCAAGGATCACTCTCGCTGCACCTTCTCCAAGACTTACCTTGTTTGTTTGTTCCTTTGGCAGTCCATGGGATATTCAGAACTCTTCTCAAACACCACAGCTCAAAGGCATCAATTCTTTTGTCATCATTTCCCTAATAGCCTTGTGATTTTGTTCATACCACCTGAAAACAAACCAGTTGTCATCTAGTCCAGTCTGACTTATGGTGGCCCAGTAGAACAAGGTGGAGTTGTACCAGACAGGAATTGCTAATAATATACTTTCTGTATGGATTTGCCTATTTTGGACACCATCTAAATATGAAGTAATAAAAAATGTTTTATAACTTATTTCACTGAGTAGTATTTTCAAAGTTTATGTAGTGTGTGCCCTAATGCTTCCTTCCTGAATAGAAAGTAGTCCATTTTCTGGATCCGCATTTACCATTTTATAAACATTTGAGTTTGATCTACTTTTCCCCTATTAGGAATAGTGCTATTGTGAACATTAATGCAAAGAAAATTTTTGTGACACCGTGTGTGTGTATGGTTGGGTTGTTTGTTGTTGTTGGTTTTTTTGTTTTTTGTTTTTTTTTTTTAGTATGTCTACCTAGGAGTGAATTGTATTACATGCTGACTCATTTAAAATTTTGAGGAACTGCAAAATTGTCCAGTCAGATTTCATCACAAATCACTTCAGTGTTGCTAGATCCAGTGATAAAATTCTTTATTTTCAACAATTGACAGAATATAAGTTTTTGTCTTTTTCTTGTAAGTGTGTTGGAGTTTTCTATAAATATTAGATAAAAGTTCATTGCCTAATGACATTGCTGAACAGGTTGTCCCCAATCTGGAGATTCTCTTTTTATTCTTTTGGTGCATGTAAGGATTTAGTTGTTTTTTTTTTTTAGGATTTAGTTTTTGAAGATTATGTCCGATAGTCTATTTTTGCCAAAGATTAGGGTCTTTAAAATTTTTCTCATATTTTTATTTGATTTCTTATTATGTCCTTAATCCATTTTGAGGTAGGTATAGATCTCATTTGAGTTTTCTGCAAATTACTATTGTTACGTTCTCTCTAGTACAACTCATAGCCACCCTATAAACAACAGACCTGCACCTTGTGCTATCCTGTGCCGTCCTCATCATCTCTGACACATGTGAGCCCTTTGCTGCAGTCACAGTGTCAATTCATCTAATGGAGAGTTTTCATTTGCTGACCCTCCACCATTCTAGGCATGATTACTCTTTCCAAGGAATAGCCTCTCCAAGAGACAAAGCTTCACCATCCTTGCCTCTAAGAAGCATCTTGGCTGCTCTTTGAGACATACCTGTTTGTTCCTTTGACAATCCATGGAATTTTAAGTGCTCTTCTCAAAACACCGCAATTCAAAGACATCAGTTAGTCTGTCATGATTATTCATTGTCCAGCCCTCAGATGCATAGCAAGTAATTGAAAATACTATGGCCTGAATGAGGTGTCACTAAGATCATTGCTTCTCAGTGCTTTGGAGAGGTCCCTGACAGTGGTCTTGTCCAATGCAATACATCTATCTGATCTCCTTACTGCTAGTACCAAAGGTGTTGATTGTGGATCAAAGCAAGAGAAAATCGTTGACAGTTTCAATCTTTTCTCTGTCAGGAAGTTGCTTATTGATCCAGTGGTGAGAGTTTTTTGCCTTCTTGATGTTGAGATACAGTCCTTATTGAAGGCTGCAGTTTTTGATACTCTGCAGCAAGTGTTTAAAGTCCTCTTCACTTTCAGCAAGTAAGGTGGTGTCAGCTGCATAATTTGTTCATGAATCTTTTTCCGATACTGACACCACATTCTTCATATTGTCCAGTTTCTTGAATGATTTGCTCAGTGTACAGCTTAAATAAGTGTGGAGAAAGGATGCAACCATGATGCACATCTTTTTTTGTCCCTACGCAATCAAATGTCTTTGCATAGTTGTTACAATACAAATAGCCATTTTTCTGGTATTCTTTGCTTCCAGCTAAGATGCATCTGACATCAACAGTGATATCCCTGGAGCCATGACCTCTACTAAACCCAGTTTGAACTTACAGCAATTCTCTGTTAATGTACATTTTTTAGCCATGTTGGGATGATTTTCAGCAATATTTTGCTTGCATGTGGTATTAAAGATAATGTTTAGTAGTTTGCACATTCTGTTGCATCACCTTTCTTGAAAATGGGAACTAATACAGATATCTTCCAGCCGTCCAGCCAAGCAGCTTTCCTCCAGATTTCCTGCCACAGACTGGTGAGCACAGCCAGGGCTGCATCTGTTAATGGAAATATTCTATTCTTCAAATAGATACCCATTTTTGTCAGTATCATTTGTTAAAGAGGCTGTCTTGACTTTTTGATTAGATGGCAGACTAGTGCCATGGCAGTCCAGACCATGTTCAACAGAGATGCCAGAAAACAAAGATAACAGATAACTGATGATAATTGTGGAACCCTGAGTTAAAAAGAAAGCCAAAGAAGTACTTTTAAATACCAACTAGAGAAAAAACTGAATTGAAACCCTGAATAAGGACAGTGGAACATGGAGCCATAAACAGTACATACAGCTCGGTCATTTTGAGCAGCTGTCTGGTCCTTGTGGGAACCTGTAACTGTAGTAGTATCCACATCAGTGACTGTGATAACAGCAAAGTTAGGCTTGTCACGTGTGCCCTCCCAGAGATTAGAGGAGTGTCTTCTCTCCCTCCATCTGAGTGGCTACCAGCCAGCATTCTCTCAGGCTGTCCCAGCTTTGCCTGAGCCAGTACAATACAACAGTGACTTCAGAGGCAGCAGTTAACTTGAAACCAGTCAGAAATCCAGGACATCAAACAAAAAGTGACCAAAATACAGAACCAGAAATTTTCAGAGAGAAGAGATGCTACAGGAACTTCCTAATAAGAAATGTCTCCAAATTGAGAAAATGTTTGAAAAAATTACATAAAAAATCATAGAAAAGACTAGAAAAATTTAATGAAAAACAAGACCAAAGAATAAATCCAAAATTAATGCAAAAACAGCAGTTTGGGACGGGGCTAGAGCCTGTGGGCCTGTCTACATGCAGAATGCAAGGTGCGCAGATTGAACTTACACGTTCCACACAGGTAGGACCACTGAGTGGCACATGCCTGGTCGGCAGT